CAGCAATAGCCCTCTTTGGACTGGGCATTATTGTAGTATAGTGAAAATTTTTGACATTGTGATAGAGGCATGTGCTGGGCTATTGCTACCATGAGACATCCTTCAGGTTTACAGAGTCTATTCCAAGAATCAGGATGATTTTTATAAAGTTATGCATGGGAAAACATTTGTATCGTTTAATTTTTTACTTACAGTATATCAAATGTTTTCTCTGCATCCACACACATTGGCATTCAGTGCTCCCAGATCTAGGTGACCAACATATCTAAAAATCACCCAGATCATTTCAGGGGTTTGGGTTTTCCATGGAAGTCCCGTTTTTGACCGACTGCACATATGGCTTAAGCCCAAAATAGTTCCGTTAAATATAGCCCAAAACAGTTCCAGTGCTAGAGGTCAGTCAACTTCAGTAACATAAAAATGAATAAAATACCGAACATAATCTATTATTACAATGTGTAGCTTGTTCACCTCATCCATGTGAACGATTCCACCGAACAGTGTCCTTCCAGGTTGTGTAGAAACAAACGCAGGCGATGATGGCAGACCAGCGGTGTTCGGGAGTTTCAGTGTCCGATTTTAGTTCCAGGAGATCTAAGCCCAAACTCTGGTGCCTGTGATCACAGGAACAAGATAACCGCCACCTTGTGGTCGTTCATACGAACTGCGGCCACCCAGATGAGCAATTAGAACACTGCGGCGGAAATTGTTACAAGGTGTCAATTGGGCTTAACAAGCACACGGGTGGTCCCTGGTTTGTGCGGTTGTTCGGTTCCCAAATGGTATAGGGAAATTACACGAACCTAGCCATTTAAAATGTATTTTACAGTTCTTTCTGCAGGGCCCATAGCCCTGAGACAGGAGGCTAGCAAGTAGGCAACTCCATGAGCCCATGTCAAGGTCACATTCGCCACAATAAGTATCACAAAGTAAAAGAAAACGAAAACAAAACCATAACACAATGAGTTGAGATTAAATATATTTGAACACAAAGACAATAGGGGAGCTTCTTGCATCATTACGGACTTAGTTTGGTGCGCTCCTTCACTTTTGCCCAAATATCATTATATTACTGCTAGAAACATACGTTAGCCAAGGTTGCCACATACTTTAGATTTAGATTTTTTTTTTCCCCAGGAAACATTCTCATTACACATATATCCGTACACATAATTACGTTTTATCCTTTTAACCAAATGTTGGGAAGAAAGTGGTTTCTTTTGCTTCCAGTGTAAAGCTGTGAGACGGTGTGCCAGTAGTAAAACATGTGTGGATAAGATTTTACCAGGACAGTAGGTATCTCTTATGGACAATAACAGCAAATACCTGGAAGGTTCGAAGGGTAAGTCCGAGATTGACAAATCCCTTAATTTTGCTACTACCTCCCCCCAAAATGGCTGTATTGTTTGTTGGAAATTATGGTGATTTGACTTGGTTAAGTGGTTTTGGGGTCCACAGCTCTTATTCGAGAGTTCGGTAGAAGTTGCGCCAGTTCCATATCTACTCATTGAAGGGCGCCCTTTGGGATATGTATAGTTAGTATTTAAGAACCAAACGGCAAAGTTTAGGTTAAAATAGCGAAGCTGTGACTGTGAAACTCTGTTTCTGTGACACTGCCCTCTTTTGGTTTTCATCCTCTCTCTCCAAATGTTAATTCAGTGTCTCATTTTCTAATGGTTCTGTCCTTGGTCCCCTTCTATTTTTTCTTTATACTGCCTCCCTTGACAAACTCATTTGGATTCACTTGGATTCCGCTACCACCTGTATGCTGATGACACCCAGATATATCTCTGTTTTCTGAAACACAGTGTCTCTAAAACTGAGCTTTTGTCTTTCCTCCTCATAATACTGATCCTCCTCTTTCGCTCTACCTGCAAGTTGATGATACCCACATCAACAAATCCTTGCAAGTTCGCTTTTTTTGGTGTTATCTCTTACTCTGGCAAGACGCTACTAAAGAGCTTGTTCATGCTCTAGTAATTTCTCGCATTGATTATTGTAATTCTCTCCTAATTGGTCTGCCCAGATGCCGTACTGCCTAGCTACAGTCTGTAATGAATGCTGCCACCAGGCAGATTTTCCTCTCACATTTGGGCCCTCTGTCAGTCCTTACATTGGCTACCTGTATCCTATAAGAGTCAATTCAAAATACTAACCCTTACCTATAAAAGCTCTTAATAAATCCAGCCCCTGTTGTAGTTCTTCACTGATTCATAGGTATGCCCCTTCTTGGTCTCTCTGCTATGCCGGTGACCTTCTCCTGTCCACTGTTCGCACCCTTACTGCTAACTCGTGCTTGCTTGACTTCTCGCAGGCATCTTCTTTCCTTTGGAATAGCTTGCCTACCCCCATCAGACTCTTTCCTAGTTTTCAATTGTTGAAGGATTCCCTCAAAACCCATCTCTTCAGAAAAGCTCCCAGGTTAAGCTCTACCTCACATACCTGTCCCTTGTTCTCTCCTAACCGGGTGAACTCTACTCTCTCCTCCAGTTCTGTTTCACTCCTACTTTTGATTGCTATCCCCCTCAGTGCCTGTCCTATACTCTTCCTCCTCTAGACTGTAAGCTGGTTCAAACAGGGTCTTTATCAACCTATTGATCCTGCAACATTTTGTATTCGCCTAATTTTTTTGTTAAATTTCCCCGTTTTATAATTTTGTAAAGCACTGTGAAATATGTTGGTGCTATATAAATTCCAATAATAATAATAATAATAGCTTTCAAATCAGCTATTTTTGTCTATGTTTAGAGTTGAGCAAACCCGGACTGTAAAGTTCGGGTTCGTACCGAACATTACGTTTTTTGGACATATCACTGTATGTTCGGGTTGGAGTTCGGTGTTTGGCGATTTAATGGCGAATTTTGAAAGGCTGCAGGGCAGCCAATCAACAAGCGTTTGACCCGTGTGCCCTTAGAAGCCATCACAGCCATGCCTACTAATGGCATGGCTGTGATTGACCAGTGCAGCATGTGATCCAGCCTCTATATATAAGGTGAAGTCACATGAGCTCTTATTAGTGTAGAGAGAGGATGCTGCAGCTGTGAGGGACAGATTAGGAAAGAATTCTGGTGTTGAATCTGCAAAGTACAGAGATTATTTTTGTGGGTGCTATACTACATTTTTGTACCCTGCCCTGAGCCCAGTGCCACAGAGAGTGCAGTGCACTTGCAACTGCATGTGTGCCAGGCACATTACTTTAATCCTGTTCTGGTAGCTCAGTGGGCAACATCTAGGCATTTTTAAATACTGCAATTTCTTTTATGCTAAATAGTACATTTGCGAACTGCATTTCTTGCAGTCCAATAAAACCCTTAAATACTACTGTTACATTGTTGGTTTAAAAATAATCTAACTTTTTGGTGCTAAATAGTACATTTGTGGCCTGCAGCCTGCGGCCTGCGGTGCACTTCATATCTGAAAGTCAAATAGAACCATCAAATACTGGGGTTACAGCGCATTTTTAAACATTCAAATTCTTTAGGTGCTAAAAAGTTAATTTGGGGCGTGCACTTCATATCTGAGAGTCAAATAGAACCATCAAATACTGGGGTTACAGCGCATTTTTAAACATTCAAATTCTTTAGGTGATAAATAGTACATTTGTGGCCTGCACTTCATATCTGAGAGTCAAATAGAACCGTCAAATACTGTGCTTACATTGCAGTTTTAAAAATTCAAATTCTTTAGGTGCTAAATTGTACATTTGGGGCCGGCACTTCGTATCTGAGAGTCAAATAGAACCATCAAATACTGCTGTGACATAGCAGTTTTAAACATTCAAATTCTTTAGGTGCTAAATAGTACATTTGTGGTGTGCACTTCATATCTGGTGTATGTGTGCAACACTGCCTAGTTACTGCTTCTCAAGAAAGTCTAAAGACTTTTTTAAAAAGTGAAAAATAAGTGTAAATGTGATCGCTTCATATAGACACAACTACAAAGTTAAAAACCCAACACCAAAACAATGTGTCAGACAATCTACCTGTGCATGGCTAGTGTGATATAATAAGTCTACATCTTAAAAATGCAATAACCCACAGAAGATGGGCGAGAATTTTTTTTTGCAAATGGAACATTGATTCGCATTTACTACATCTGTCACTTGTAATATTGTTTCACACCTACAACACTTGTTAAACAGATCTAAGTGATAGAAAACAGATTGATATTTTCTACACTAGAAACTACCATATAACAAGCTGCTATATTTAAACCAGTAATCAATAGCTTAGAGGTACTTAAACAATATTGTAATTCTGGGGCAATACAAGTCAAACTGAGAGGTCAGTTAATAGGGAAAACTGTTGCCTGGATACAATTACAATTCTAAAACAATTTCCATATGTCCTTTGCAGACTTTACATGCTGGAAAAACACAGGTGCCAACTGCTGTGGCTTTCTGCAGTGTGCAGTCCGATAAGGAGGGCAGGGTTGAGGAGTGGGTGGAAGATGATGTGGAGGATGATGAGGTCCTAGACCCCACATGGAATGCTGGTCATGCAAGTGACGTGTGCAGTTTGGAGGAAGAGGTGGTGGTCGCACAGAGGCACAGCATAAGAGGAAGCAGGGTGCAAAAGCGAAGCGGCCATCCCCTAGCGCTCATCGGCATGTATTAGCTCTAGAATTACCACAGTTATCCAAGTAACAGATGGAGCAATCAAAGGAACCATAACTGATTTAATGAGCAATTCGCAGTTTCACTGTAGCATCTGTGCGCGCTTCCGGCGTTCTCACCCTGCTGCTGCTCGCCTGTCTGCACTGCAATGTAATTTCAGCCTTCCTGCTCACCGCCTCATATGCGATGTGCCCACGAGGTGTAACACCACCTTGCGCATGCTGCCGAGACTGTGCGAGCAGCAGCAGGCGATAGGGGAGTTTCAGCTGCAGCACGGACAGGTCAGTCACTGTGCATCAGACTTGCCCTCCAATAGATCCTTGTTAAAGGATTTAAAGTGGACTCATTCCAATCACAGGGCCTGGAAAGAGTATTGTTATTTATTGTCACTACCTCCCCGCGTCGGGAGTGGGTAACTTGCACGCCTGCTGCCTTCCTTGGATGTGGTAGCCGTTTCTCAGGCTCCCTCTCCGGAATCGAATACTGATTCCCGTAACCCGTGGTCACCACGGTAGGCACAGAAAGTAACACCGAAAGTTGATAGGGCAGACATCCAAATGCATCGTCGCCGCCACGGTCACCGCCTCCTCCTCCTAGAGCAGGGTGCAAAAGCAGAGCAGCTGTCCCCTAGACAGTATGCCTGCTACTGCCCATCGCACCCAGGGACCGAGCACACCAAAGCCAGCTCCAAGGAGTTTCCTGGTGTGGCAGTTCAAACGAGGAGAGCCCAGTCGATTCCTGTGGCACATCCCGATAGGCAAACAGGAGATGGGGCAGGAATCTCTCTCAATCCTTGTGAGTCGCCGCAAAGGTACGGCGCATTTGCTTCAACATACCGTTGAAGCGCTCACACAGGCCATTGGTCTGGGGCTGGTAAGGGTAGCTCAGGATTGGTTTAATGTGCACAACCTCCACAGTTGGTGGGTCATTTCGGCAGTAAACTGGGTGCCCTGGTCTGAGAGATTCTCCCAGGGAAAACAAATCCGGGAGAACACTTGCATCAAGGCTTCAGCCACTGTCTTTGCCAGAATACTGCTCAGGGTACCGAGTCATGTATTCCACGATGGTCAGAATGTACTTCTTCCCAGAGGGACTAGGCTTGGCTAGGGGACCTATAATGTTGACAGCTACTCTGCCGAACGGTTCTTCACTAATTGGTAGGGGATGGAGGGGGGCACTGTGCCGGTCCCTTCTCTTCCCCACTCTCTGGTAGACATCTGGCTGTATGGCCTCAGATCCTGAGAGATGCCTGGCCAGAAGAAGCTTTGGGTGAGCCGAGACCCTGTCCGCCTCCTGCCCAAATGCCCTGCCAAGGGAATATCGTGAGCTAGCTTCAGCAGCTCATACCAATACTTCTTGGGTCTGGGGCTGGCGGTCTCTCACCAGCCGTGTCGTTGGGGAGCCCATCGAAAAAGTGCTCTAGCATGACGAGTTGGGTGATCTCCTCTGGGAACTTGGCTTGATGGGAGTTGTGCCAGTAATGGGTGGCCCTTGTGATGCGGCATGCCTACTCCGCATGGGAGTCCTTCTCCCCTTTCCGGGTCTCCCTAAACTTTCGGTGGTATTGCTCGAGGGTGATCACATACCGGGCCAGAAGGATTTGTGTAATAAAAGGATAGTCTCTGATCTGCTCTTCTGGTACAGCCCGGCAAATATCTGCTGCCTTCCCCACTAGTTTGCTGGCCAGGATGGTGACCAAGTTGCTGGGGTCCACGTCTTGTAGTAGGCACTGGCGCTCAAAGTCTTGTAAAAAGTAATCGATGCCTTCTTCTGCTTCCTTGAACTCTTTGAAGGCATTGTATGGTAGCTTGTGGGCCAGGGTGGTTGTGCTTCCCAGCGCCCTCTGCTCCCTTCTTCCTTCATCTGGGTTCATGGAGGTTGCCCTTTGTCTATTGGCAAAGACATAGGCTTGCACCTCCAAAAAGGTCCTGCTGACGATCTCCTCTGAGAGTGGCTCTCGGTAATATGCCAGGCGCCGGACCACCTCATTGCGCACTTCCTCCTCATCTCCGGCCCCTGGCTGGGGTTCATGCCTCACTGCGTGCCTGGTCATCCTCCATGAGCGCAGCAGTCAATTTGGCCTTGTTACGCTCACCAGGCGTTATTCCTCTGCCTCCACACAAGTCCTGCAGTTTAGGTCGCTTTAGAGCACTGTAGTCCATGGGTCTGTTGGCAGGGACATGGGATCCCGCCACTTGCCACCAATTGACGCGGGACCTGGGTAACCGATGGTTATCCCCTTTGATTAGAATAGGTCAGACCCATTTTCCCAGTCACCGGATGGGACACAGTTCCACGATACAATCGTTAGCAAATATCCCCTTTCATTTCCATTGACTTTGGGGGGTATTATTTTCCTTTATTTGATTTTAGCTGGTTTTGAATAGGGCATACCATCTGATATGGTTAAGGAGGTAGAGCCCAACAAGTCAGAGGGGTGAAGCCCACAACCATCTTTAAACATCACCAGCCTCCACTGTTTGATATACTTAACATGAATACAACATTAGATCCCATATCTCTTCCTCTAAATATGACTCTTGGTATCTCACTTATCCTTCCAGTGCTGAGTGACAGAAATCAGAGTCGGCGCGTCCATAAGGCGGCACAAGCGGCTGTGTTAGGGCGCCACAGCAGGGGGTTGCAAAAATCCGAATCCCCTGCCTCTGGTTCAGGACTCTGATTTATTTTTAACTCACCTGTCCCCCTGCAGCGAGTGGAGTCGGACGGCCTCTCCTGATGATGTCAGGAGGAGGGGGAGTGACTTCCACTGCCTTTCTCCCAGGACCATTGGGGAGTCTGGGAGAAGAGCAGAGGAAGTCACACCCTCTCCTCCTTGACAAAGATTGTGTAGGTCTAAACATTGTGATGGAGTGGGTTCAATAAAATTGCCTGGTTTGTACCTTGGAGTGCCTGGACCTTTTTTCTATTTTGTTACCCTATCCTCCTTACATCAGGAGAGGCCGGCCAACTTCACTGATTGCAGGCTGCAGATCCTGGCCCACCTCTCCCTGGCCCAAGGTAAGCCTCAGGGAGGGGGGAATACAGGTTAGTTTTGTTTTTTTTAATCCCCATCCTCGGCCCTTGTCCCCCTTCCTCACCCCTGACCCCCTTCCTCAGCCCTGTCTCCCTACTCAGCCCCTGTCCCCCTACTCAGCCCTGTCACCCTCCTCTGCCCCGTCCCTCTCCCTCTGCCCCTGTCACCCTCCCTCTGCCCCGTCCCCCTCCCTCAGCCCATCCCCGTCCCTCTGCCCCATGCCCCCCCACCACAGCCCCTGTCCCCCAGTTGCAACCCATATCACCCACACCACAGCCCCTTTCCCAAATTGTAGCCATCAACCTACTTCAGCCCCTATCCCACCACTACATTTCCTAACCCCCCCAATTACAGCCTGTACCCTCCACTACAGCCCCTTTCCCCCTACTACAGCCCCTAACCCCCTACTACAGCCCCTAACTTTTCAATTACAGCCACTACAACCAACTAGCAATGCCATTCCCGAGATTAGGCTCTGGATCCATCCCTGCTCTGTATACCTGTATATGTATGACTATAAGCCTGTGTATGTTTGTCTTTGTATGCCTGTGAGTGTATGACAGTGTCTGAATATCTCTGTGTGTGTCTGTATTTGTATGGCATTGTACCTGTATGTGTAGATTGTATGGCTGTGTGCTTGTATTTGTTTGATTGTGTGCCTGCATATGTCTGTGACTGAGTGCCTGTATGGTTGTATATATCGAAGTCTATATCACATGAAAAAAAGACGAAGTGCACTGAGGGGAGAGACCCACAGAAAGGGGCTGGGGAGAAGAAAAAGACATGCAAAAAGAATGGGGGGAGACACGCAAAGGGGATGGGGAAACAAAGATACACAAGGGGTGTTATAAGAGACACACAAGAGGGTGTAAGACATAGTAAAGGGCGGATAAAATACACTAAAGAGGGTAAGAAAATAAAAAGGGGGGGTTATAAGACACAAAGGGGGACGCGGAAAAATGCATCTTTTGTAGCCAAAAAACCTTGCACAGGCCCTGATAGCATTGACACGCATAGCTATTTACATGTGTCATACACCCTGCATGGCTTACATGATTTACAATTCCTATGTTTACTTAATAAAATTAGAAAGGAGTATATCAGGGTCTGTATCCCAGCAACAGGAAGTAATGATACAAAAGGGAACAAAGTGTTAGGAACAATCTCTGCAGCTTTGATCAGGTAAATTGCAACATTCTCTTTCTTTTATGCTGTTCATCATGTTATCTATTATGCAAACAATACAAATGCAAGTTATAGAGATGTTATAATTTTATAACTTTACAATTAAAAATAATGTATTAATAGGAATAGAACTGGGGTAGGCAAACTTCAGCACTGCAGATGTTGTGGACTACATCTCCCATCAGGGCTACCATCAGAAACTTGGGGGTCCCTTACACAGTTCAAGGCCTGGGCCCCCATTCCACCACCATATCACAGGCACTTGGAGCTGTGGTCAGTGCTGTCCCTGTCCCTCCAGCCAGGAAGCATTGTGTGTGGGTATAGCCGTGTGTGTATACGGGTGTGTATAGGGGCTGTATGGGGACATATATTAATATCTATATATAAATTATACAGCTAGTACTTCATATATATAATTATACAAATTATATAACGTATTAAGTTTATTAAGGTGGGTTTGCGGTGCCGGTGCATACACTACATCCCCATAATCAATGACCGGAATTGGCATTTATTGCACATCTGTTTCCTTACTGTAGCGCTTAGGCAGGATTTGTTTCTGTACAGGGCACCTAGTTTTGGATAAAAGTTTTGAAGAGATTTTTTCAATGTGAAGGCCAAAGGATAGATTGTCTAGCAACATATCTAGATATTTAAAAAAGCAGACTGCTGTCAGTGTGCTATTTGAATTTGTTCTGATACACAATTGTTGATTTTGTAGTTTACGTAATTTAGGTACAGTTGCAAAAATCATTGTAACGATTTTGTCAGTGTTTAGAAAGAGTTTGTTATCCGCTATCCACTCTACCTCTACTCTACCTCTGTGAATTGATTTTGGAGCACAGCCTCAAGCTGCGGTAGCTTGGGTTTAATAGCGTAGATTACAGTGTCATCTGCATACAAGTGTACAGTTGAGGATTTGCAGACGTTAGGCAGATCATGTATAAATAATGTGAATAGCAGGGGGCGAGTATGGAACACCACACGTGACTGGAAGAGGGAGGGAAGTGCTATCAGAAATGGCCACATATTGCAATCGGTCTGAAACATACGATTGAAACTAGGTTAGCGGACAGTCACCAAACCTGAGTTTTTAAGTTTTTTCAAAAGAATGCCATGGTCTACTGTGTCAAAAGCCTTGGCAAAAATCAAGAAATATAGCTCCAGGTAAGTCTCCTTGTTCCATGCCAATATGGATGTAATTTCAAACTTTTAAGAGGGCAGTCGAAGTTCAGTGATTTGGACAAAAGCCTGATTGATCAGGGGTCAGATAATTTGATCATTGATAATATTCACTTAGTTGCGTGTGAACACATTTTTCCAAGATTTTTGACAATGCAGGGAGTGAAGATATTGGGCGATAGTTAGATACCAAAGTATTGTCACCACTTTTATAGATAGTTACAACTTTTGCAGTCTTCCAAAGTT